TTTCCTTTTTTAATTGACTAACGATAAGAAAACAAAAATTTGACACCAATAAATTTAGTTTCTGTTATTTTATTAAATTAATTAATGTATACAATATTATAAATTTTAAAAACAAAAAGAGTTAATTATTAAATAATATAAAATTTATTTTTTAATATTTTAAATGACGTAACATAAATTACGTTATTAATCTCAAATTTTAATCTCATTTATCATTATTCTTTTCCCTTTCCCTCAAAATCTCTTTCTCCCACTCATTTAGATATGCACTACTCTCTAAAATTAACAAAATTATATAAAAACTACGGTCAAATAAAGCTTAAGGAAACTTTTCCCACCCCATTTCCTCTAATTTTTATCCTTCGTGGGCGAAAAAAATAAAAAAGAAAAAAAGAAGAATCAGTGGGAATTGGGAGGGGCAGTGTGGAGGATAAAAAGGAAGGTGAGAATGACAATTAAATTGACAATTAAATTGGAAAAAAGAAAAAATTCTTCCTCAAAGCTCAATTAAAGCAGAACGGTAAAAAACTAATCACTACTGCAATTCATGCAATACACTATCAATCCCTCCTATATAAACAGCCAGTTCTTCTCATCCACATTCATCTTCTTACTCTGTGGTCAAGAAAAAAAATAAGAAACAATATGTTGAGGGATTACCTGCTGTGCTTGGCCATGATTCTGTTGCAAGTAGCCTACGCTGTAATGAACATCATCTCTAAACTGGCCATGGAATCTGGCATGAAACCTCTTATCCTCCTCGCTTACAGTCAAATCTTCTCCGTCACAGTCATCACGGCCGTTGCTTTTTTCAAGGAGCGGTGGTAATCTACTCAAGAAAAGAACTTTCTTTTTTCATCTTTTTTTGAGTCTTTTTAGTCGTACATCTAATTGAAGCAAATGGTTTCTTTCTCTTTTTTTCTTTTTTTTTCTCTCTGATTATCTTTGCTATGGGTCTGTTTGGTTTCTTAGAAAATGCTGGAAAGAGTTGTCTTTTTTAATGAATTTAAGGAAATAAGAAAAAGTGAGTTCAGCCTGCGGATGCCTAGAAAATTGTTTTCTTACGAGGAAACTCTGTTTTTGCACAATTAGAAGTAGTATCTTAACTCATTTTTTCTGGTTATTTGAGCAGTAAAAGACCAAGGATCACAGTGCTGTTCCAGTTGTTCTTGTGTTCAATTACGTAAGTGTGGTGATTTGGACTTTTGGGTTTAGTTTATGAATTTCCTTTAAAATTGCTATGAATGCTGAAATATACAAGGAAATTAACATTAATGGTATGTTTGGGTTGAGGGGAGAGGAGGGGAAAGTTTTTTAACCAATCAAATCATAATGTTTTAACCCAAACAAACGGCAATCTTCTGCAGGGTGACTGCAAAACAGGTGCTTTACGTTCTTGGACTTCAGTATTTAACCGCAACAATTGCCTGTGCATTGAACAATCTCCTCCCGGCAGTCACTCTTGTCCTTGCAGTCTTTTGGAGGTGCTCGGAATATGTACCTAATACCTTTCAGAACATCTATAGTTTGTACTTTTATACTAGTACTAGTATGACTGGATCAAGGCCTATGGATTTTATATTTATTTTCTGGTTTTATTAGGTTAGAAAATGTGCAAATAAGAACGGCGGCAGGGCAGGCAAAGGTTATAGGAACCGTCGTATGTGTTGGTGGATCTACGTTGTTGTCTTTTTACCATGGACACATCATTGAGATAACAGAATCCAAATATACCGTGAAAATGAATGAAACAAGTTCCAACAAGGGGGGAAACTTCCTCGGTGCGTTTCTAATCATGTTGAGCTGTGCTGCTTGGGCTGTTGGGATCATAATCCAGGTCCATGCTTGATCTCTCTAAACACTTAAATTCCTTTCACCCTTCGTCCATTAAATAAATTGTTTCAATCACCCATGATTTTCATTTTTCAGGCACGACTAGGGAAGAATTTTGAGGCACCTTGCACAACAACTGCAGTCATGAGTTTCATGGCAAGCATTGAGTGCACTGCCATTGCTTTCATTTCTGAACATAAAATTTCTGCTTGGTCGTTAAGCCCCAGTATCAGACTTATTGCATCTTTACATGGGGTATGTTTTACTACAAGCCAATTACACATTAATAAAAATGTGTAAATGATTATGTTATGAGATTTGAGTTGCCTTATTTGATTTGGCACGTAATTTTAGGGAATTGTGTGTAACGCGCTGGCATTTTGCCTAATAACATGGAGCATAGAAAAGAAAGGACCCCTCTACGTCTCGATGTTCAGTCCTTTGTCTTTGGTGATCGGCGCAATCCTAAGTTTTGCACTGCTACACGAAAGATTATTCATTGGAACGTAAGTATATAATATATACATATATACATTTATTGATTCAACCGTATATTTAGCATTATCAAATATATATGACTAAATTATGTATGCATCGATTCAGTCTTGCAGGGTCTGTTCTGATCGTTGCTGGACTTTACGCGGTTCTGTGGGGAAAAGATAGAGAGACTAAACAAATGAAACCCATGGGTAATGAAATGGAAACAAAGCAAGACGATCAGGAAGGTGACTTGGAAGTCCAGGTTGGGAAGATTAATGATCATCCTACTAAGATCGGAGAAAACCTCGATCCTGTGCTGTCTTAAGGTTGGTTTTTTTAAAGCGTTTGAAGCAAGGAGGAGGTCGACACTGTTTTTCCTTATAGAGATAATGGGTAATTGGCTTGTTGTAAATTTAGGATGGCTCCATTTGATGTCAAAATCATGAATCATTTCTTTCTTTTGAATGTAGCCATATGGTACACCCATTAAATCGAATAGAAATTGAATAATTGAATTTCGATGAATAGAAATCGAATCATATCCACCCATTCAATAGGTGAGAAGTTTTGAAGGAAAAAAAATGCATAACAAGATTGGTCTTTAGCAGAAGAGTTAAAATTTAGAGACTAATAAGTAGTTAGTATGAGTAGCGGATGCTGATAATGAAAAATGAGTAGATAATACATAATAAATTGTAATTGATATAATCATTTTTTTTTTTTAACAATTTGTTATGGAACGAGATCGAATCCGCCTAAGGGGAGGGGTGCACCTTAATGTAATAGGATGCCACTTGGCTCAAGTGCGTAATTAATATAATTATTTAGTTATATAATAATTAGTAAATGTTATTTGATATTAAATGATTAATAAATACATATTTAAAATTTTATATTTCTTACAATTAAAAGTATTAATTTTAGAAAAATAATAAGAAATTAAATAAATAAAATATAAAAATATAAATTACATACTCATTTTTATTTTAACAAAGAAAAAAATTATATTCTTTTTGTTTTAAAATAATAAATATTTTTTAATTTAAAATTTATTTTAAAATAGTAATTATTTTTTTCTTATTTTAAGAAAAATTTTATTTAGACTTAACAGTAGTAGCACTCGTTAACTTTCTTAGAAGTTATCCCTCCCTCCACAGAATTCAACAAAACTAGCTGCCAAGGGTTAAGGGTCAAAAAGGCGGAAAGTTCATTGGAAAATTTAATCAAATAATTTTACAACAAATAAATAATAATTAAAAAAAAACTTATAGGTATTTTAAGTTTTTTGGAAAATTTTTTTTTAATATTATTCACCGAATTACCTCGCAGGAGGGATCTAAAAACCTCTCTAGTGATTCAGTAACAGCCCCCGCGATAAGTTAATAATATGTACCAAATACTTTATCTCATATCAAGGCTCAAGTACTCATAAAGACATGTATAATATTTCTTCTTTTCCAAAATTCTCCATTGTTCCAAAAGAAAAGAAAAACCTCTCCAGTGACCATGGTTCCTAGCGCCGTGAGAGGGAGAACAATTGCTCGTAGCAATTTTTATTGTATCTGTTAGCCTCTTCTTACCTAGTTGGAAAGATAGGATGGTAAGCGTTTTGAAGGGATAGGAGGTGGCAAGGAAGGTAAGGAGTTTTGTTGTTGGTGGTGTGCTGGACAGATTGGTGATGCCGTGATGGTGGATGGGGTTGCTACTTCTGCATTGGGTCAAGGTGGAATTTCAGCAGATTGGGGTGTGACCATCAGCTCTTGATTGTTGTTAGTGTGTGGGTGGCGCTGGTCTGTTGTAGAAGGTTGAGGGTTGAGGGAGGCCCTATGTTGTTGTTTGTTACTTTGGTGTTTGATGGGGCAATATTTTTATGTTCCCCTTCTATATCAATTCAATAATTTATATAAAATTGATGAATTAGGATCACTAAAAAAAATGAGTACATTTTTCAATCACTAAGTCATATTAAAAAAATTAATATTAATTTTAACATCAATATCATATGTATTAATTTAATTAATTAATTATTATAATTAA